AAAGAAAGAAGGAAAGAAAGAAAGAAAGAAAGAAAGAAAGAAAGAAAGAAAGAAAGAAAGAAAGAAAGAAAGAAAGAAAGAAAGAAAAAGAAAAATTGGCAGAGTGCATGACAGGCTCCACTTGTCTGCAGGCAACAGGAGATGATACCGTAACAGCCCAGTCCAACACTGCTGACAAGTGCTGACCATAGCAACGTCAGCCTTCTCCCTGGCAGCACAGCCAGAGACAAAGCTCAGTAGTTTGTATACATAGCCAAATGACAATTCCTTTAAAGTGTTGAAATTCTACTATACAACTGTCGAGTTTTAAAGTTAATTGTTTGGGTCTTACTATGTAGGTTTCTCATTTCCTCACAACCTCCTTATTGGACAAGTATTATCCCCATTTTACAGAGGAAGAAGATGAGCTTTAAGGCGTTTGCCCAAAGCCACACAGCTGGGATTAGGGAGGCTTCATGTGTCCAGGGCCCTATGTCACTCTCCTCAGATCTGCCTTTTCCCTGAGAAACTGGGTCAAGGGTCTGGTTATCATCAGCGATGCCTTCCCTGTCATCGGGCCTACTTGAAGCTGTCTGAACTCGAAGCCCTGAATCTTGTCTGAACAGCTTGGCCTCAGACCTGAAAGCAAACAGAGGGCCAGGGAGGCACAGAAATGACAAGCCGAGTGCGCTGCAGGAAGCAGCTATAGGTCTGAGTGGGGCAGAGAGGGATGGCAGTGTGTTCTGGAGAGGTCCGTGGCAGGCTCTGGGTGGCAGGGGCTGGCAGTCAGGCTGCAAGCTGCAGGCGCCTACCTGGCTGAAATTATCTTACAGCCACGTGGGGCTATTGAGCCTCTGGAGTGTGACCAGACCAAAATGAGAAAGGCTGTAAGAAAACACACATCGGATTTCAAAGACGGTAAAAAAAAAAGAATGTAAGATAGCTGAATAAATTTTATATTAATGACATATTGAAATGACATTTTAGCTATATGGAGTCAAGTAAAAGTATTATTAAAATTAACACCATCTGTTCCTTTTTTATCTTTAAGTGGCCACTAGAAATTTTGAAATTACACATAGCGCTCACGTCATACTTCCATTGAACAGCTCTGCTCAATAAACTCCCCCCAGGCGACCTGCGGCCGCCCCCTGCCGGGGAGGCAGTTGTTCTGCAGTCAGAAGGGTCCCCAGCCGCCTCAGACACTTGTGTCCGCTGGAGCTGTGGGACCGCCCCGGCCTCCTGCCACCGGTCCGCCTCCTCTGTGCTCTGCCGCCCCCTAGCAGCTGCTCTTCCACATCGGTTTTTGCGTCTGGGACGGAACTGAAACACCTCGTGGTCCCAAACCATTTATTCCACTTACCTACTCTCCGGTTTCGGTTGTAGTTGACTCCTAGCATTTGATGGAAGAATTTAGGCCTTTCCGTAGTGTCTATTTACTCTTTTTTTTTCTGATTTACTATCTTGACCATCACCTTCTCAACAAGTATCAATACAATTAGAGATGTTTTCTGTCTCTGAACTTCGCTACCTGTGGCTTCTGTTGGTGAAACTAACAGTTACAGCTGGGCGTGGTGGCGCATGCCTGTAATCCCAGCATTTGGGAGGCTGAGGCAGGAGGATCCATGGGAGTTCAAGACCAGCCTGGGCTACATAGTGAGTTCAAGGTTAGGCTGAATTACAGAGTAAGACCCTGTATTTTTTTTAAATTATCAATTACATCTGGAAAACTGGATGTTAATAAATAATTTGAGGGCTGGGGATTTAGCTCAGTGGTTCTGCAGCCTGCCTCACAAGTGCAAGGTCCCGAGTTTAATCCCAGTACCAAAAAATAAATAAATAAGTAATTTGATTTAGGGCGCTGGACTCCCCACTCCTGGTAATGGGGATTGACTTCAGGGACTTCACATTGAACTGCAAGCCTAGCCTTTTTTATTTTTTATTTTGAGGCCAGTCCTCACTAAGCCACTAAATTGCCCAAGATGGGCTCAAATTCCTTATCCTCCTGCCTTTGCCTCCAAGAGTGTGGGGATTACAGGTGTGGGCCATCATGCCTTGTCTAGGGAGCTAGGTGTTTAGTTTCAGAAGACAGTTTCCTTTTGTTGGTAAATGGGCCAATGGTGTGTAACAGGTTGAACTCCATTGTGAGGATTATGAGGCAATAATATATATATGTATAAAACACTTAGCTCAGTGCCTGGAACATTGGTAATAAAGAACAGTGGTAATAAAGAAGATAATATGAGCAAAATATATTCTACACTTCATATTTAAACCCTCCAAAATATGAAACTAGCAGGCAAGAGAAGTGATAGGGGGAGAAGCAATTACCAAAGTATGTTATATGCATGCATGCACTTGCCAAAATGAAAACCATTAGAGAAAAATAAATGTAGCTATTAATATAGGAAATTGTTACCTATATAAACAGCAATCTTTTTTTTTTTTTGGTACCGGGGATCGAACTCAGGTCCTTGTGCTTGCTCAGCAGGCGGCGAAACCCCTGAGCTACATCCCCAGCCCAGCAGCAATCTTTTGAGAGTAGTATTTGTCCTTGTATGGTAGGACCCTGGTTCAGAAACTTTGTGTGTGTGTGTGTGTGTGTGTGTGTGCACAAGCACTAGTGGGACTTGAACCCAGGAACTTGCACTGAACTACATCCTCAGCCCTTTTTATTTTTTATTTTTAGACACACTTAAAATAAACTGTGTCTCATAAGTTTCCCAGGCTGGGCTCAAACTTTCCATCTTCCTGCCTCAGCCTCCTGAGTAGCTGGGATTACAGGCATGCACCATTGCATATAGCCTTCCTGATAGGTAAACAAAGGGACTGAAAGGGAACTAAATTTTAGCGAATCACTGGGCTGGTAAAATGCCCAGTTGGTCAAGATCTTCCTGGAAAATTACTCAGACCAAACCCGAGTCAACTCAGCCAACCAGGGCAAGGGGAGTGGACAGGGACAAGGTCATGGATCAACTCCTCTGGGATCTCTGGATTTTCCAGGGTTCACAAAGATATTCCCAGCATTATGTGTAATGGAAATATAAGTTCAAGAAGAAAATCAAACAACATAAAATACACAACTATTCAAGGAAAATTTATTTGTATGTTTTTAAGTGGATAATGTGAGTATCAGATTTCTGTGGCATTTATATTCCTATGGATACAGGACATTTAAAAGAGTGACTAACTGATTTATTTAAAGTGTTGACATTATGATAATGTTAGAGATTATCATCTTTGCAAGTTTATTTAAACTTGTGGTGAAGAGTTCCACCTATGTTGACTTCCACATAACTTGAGCTGGGAATTTCTGAGCTCAGTTAGAAAGTGCTTGCCTCACATGCACAAGGCCCAGAGTTCCATTCCCAGCACCACACACACACATACGCGCGCACGCACACACACACACAAGTTCTGCATAACTCAAAATACTCAGAAGAAAACTGAAGCTCTCATAGGGAGAATGTGAGCAAAAATAATTGAAGACCAGGGCTCTAGGTTGTATGCCTGGGAGTGGAATTGTCAGATTGTAGGAACTCGAAGTAAACAGGCCTCAATGACCAGAGTACCTGTGCTAATTCATCTTCCCTGCAGGCAAGGTGAGACCCACTGCTCTATATCCACCAGAGGCTGGAGGACTGTGGAGGTTGCAACTTTCACATCCTGGATGGGTCCTTCGCTTCTCTGGCAAGGGTTACTTCAAGCCTAGATCCCAGGCCTTACAAGCCTATGGAGTCAGGGTCTGGAGAACTCAAAGTTGTATATTTTATGTTCTGATGGCTTCTGTTTACAAGAGCCTGACACTTTCATCTCTAAGAAAGAGCTCTTTCTGCTCCAAGCCATCCCTGTTCTTCCCCACACCTGGCTCCTAGCCTGGGAAGGAAGCTGGGCATTCATCCTCCCAGTTTGTTACCATCTTGTTCCAGTCCTCTGGGCACCTCAGTGGAGTCACATCATACATCCAGTCCTTCGAGTGTGGTTTTCATAGCAAATCCTGGGGATCCAGGGTCCTGCCTCTTGCTCCTGAGGAACTTGTCCACCCCCAGCTATGTTCTGTCCCCCAGCCTCAGGCCCTTTAATAAAGTGTGCACCAAAGGTGTCTACTTGGCTAGGGGCTGAGTTGAAGGGGTAAAGAGTACAGGGTGGGAAGAGCAGCACCTCATTCTTTTCTGGAAATTGACCACATTGCTGTAGTTGCTAATTCTGGCCACCATAAGGCACAGTATGCACGCTTTTGGAGAGCTACTTTAAGAAAGGGGGCATTTCTGCCTTCTAAAATTAACTGGAAAAACCTACTTTGGGTCCTCCAACCATGTCCCTGTCCTCCATCTGAGCATGCTAAAACCTCAAGAAGAGCCCAGCTGGTCTCACCTGCTCCTTCATTGAAGACCCTCCCCTCTTACTGACCCTGGGCTGGCTCTTACAGTTGGTCTTGGTTCCTGTCTCTCCAGACTAAATGCTGGCCACACTGCACTACTGGAGTGGGAATTCCTTGGCCTTCTCCTCTCCCTTGGCCATGCCATTCTGTTCCAACAGGCTTATCTCTAGCCTGCTTATTTCTGCCTCTCTCCTTTGAAAGAGCTTTCTCTACCCTATACATCATAGCGTGGTTCTTTTGCCTGTAGTATGCAAGAATGAAAGGTACTGGTGTTATAGTGTTCTGCAAAAATCAGAGGTGTGAACCACGCGTTAGTGTTGAGTAGTACTTGTCAAAAGTGACTCACTATAACCGTAAACACTGAAGGCTAATGTACACCTAAATGCCAAGTTGTGCCAGGTGTGGTAGCACATGTCCATAATCCCAGCACTCTGGGAGGCTGAAACAGGAGGATCACAAATTCAAGCCCAGCCTGAGCAACTTGGTGACTTAGCCCTCCTGCCTCAGCCTTCAAGAGTGCTGGGGTCACAGGGGTACATCACTATGTCTGGTCCTTCTGTATCCTTTTTTATGAAAATATTTTACTGTTTTGAATTAGAAAATGAAAACTATTTTCATAATGTAGAGTGCCCTCCTTTTGCTCCTAAAGGTGGAACCCAATCACTCTGCTTGATGTGTAGCCCAGGCCTGGTACACGAGTCTCTTGTGAGCCTCAGTTTAAGGCTCAGTGTGCTGTGGCATCTTTTCCAACATCCTGCCCTCCCAGAAGTCCCCTCAGTGCCCTATTGTCCCTACTATGACACTTAAGGTGCTTGTCATAATTATTTATCTGCATCCCTGGCCCTAAAGCTCAGCTCCTGGGAAGCAGGAGCTGAGTCTGATTTATCAGTGACCTCAGGACCTGGCATAGGCACCTCCCCCAAGGAATATTATTAGCTAATGTTAACTAACACTCACTATGTCACACATGGTGAGCACTTTGACTGTTTTGGTTCACTTACTCTCACAACTCTGACATGATGTGGATTGATTATTATTTTCACTACATTTTGCAGATGAGAAAACAGCTACAAAGATAATTGCCTGAGGTCACATAGCTCATAAACAGCCAGACCAGGGACATGAGCTCTGGCTGTGTAGTTCAAACCTGTGATCTTAAACACTGAATAGACATTTGGTAAAGCTCTGCTAAGTGAAAACACCTAGCATTTCTCCAAAGTACCATTCATTCTGAAAGATGATCTGAATGGACCCAAACGCAAGATGTCAATCCACACCCCAGCTGCAGTGCGGATCAAGGGGCCACACTGACAGACCATTGAGGACAACTGCACACGGCCAAGCGGTTGCACTCCCGGTGCTCACCTCCACTCATTCACTATGCTCCTGGCAGTTCCGTTTATGAATGAGAAAAAAATATGTGTACAGGGCAAAGGGGCTGCATGGGCCTCTTTTCCCAGGCCCCAGGGCTCCAGACCAATCATCCATTCCTCTTGATCTGCTTCCTCCATCCTTCCAGAGCCCATCTTCTGGGGCGCAGTGGGGACCCAGGAGCTCAACTGAGCATGAAACTTAGCTGTGAGTTTCCCAAGGCCCCAGGCAAATAGGCAAACAAGATTGCTTTTAACACTCCCCATAACTCCTTGTGAATCTTTTGTTTTCTTTAAGTCTGTGAACATTTACCAATTGCCCACCCTGTGCTATTTCCTGGAAATAAAGCCAAGTACAACACCTTCTGCAGTTGAAAAGGTTACAGAAATACTGTCCAACAAAATAACAAAAGCCTCAAATGTACCAATTCTAAATGTTCTAGTAGCCATGTGGAAAAAAAGGAAAAAAAAACAAGTGAACTTAGTTTTAATTATGTATTTTATTTTACCCAACATAGCTAAAGTATTTCAATGTGTAACCAATATAAAATTATATATTTTATGTTCTTTTTTATAGTTGAAGTCTTGGTGTGCCTTTTATACTTAAGAAAACTTTTCCACTTAGACTAGCTTTTTTTTTTTCTTTTTGAGACAGAATTTCACTACATAGTCCAGGCTGTCCATGAACTCACTGTGTACCCAAGCTGGCCTCCACCTCATGGTGATCCTCCTGCCTCAGCCTCCTCAGTACTGGAATTACAGGCATGGGCCACCATGCCCGACACTTAGACT